CTTATAATAAAACATGTATATATAATTGGGATGTTGACTACTTTATGATATCAAACTGAAGATATAATTATAATGTCTTTAGCTTATTAACAAACATAATTATAATGTCACATTAACATAACAATTATAACATCTTCAGATAATTTCAATTATGTATAAAGTACAAAGACTTAAATATATAACTGCAAATGTGAGAATCTGAAAGGCACACTTGGTTGATAGGAAAGCTAGGACAAGAAGGAAACAAATTGCTCTACCAGTTTTCATTAAACTAAACCTGATGAAAGGCACAAAATCAATTGAAAATTTCAATATTTTAAAATCCATAGAAAAATTTGAGACAGCATGCATGCTTACTTGAACAAAAATATCTCAAGTAATGGAGTTTGCACTTAAAAGTTGTGAAATTCTGAATGAAGGATTTCTCAAATTCTCTAACTGTGTTAGAGCAAAACCGGAAATCGTGTCATACAGCAAATATCCTCTATTTTCAAACCATCTTGTACAAGTGCCATGTTCTCAAAGGGATATCTGTATCTATATTTTCATAAGTGTTAATTAATGCTAAATAATTATTAATTTCAAGAATTATTAAACTTTTGGAAATCAATCTCTTACAAAAAGTTTCTAAAATACTTTATGCAAGTTTTTGGGTTATATAAAAAGATCTAAATACTAATGATATCATTTTAAAGACTTAAAACTGCTAAAATATATTTTAATATGCATTCAATTACTGAACTGTTCATGTTTATTCAATTAAAATTATGTAGTTTCAATGGAATTCACATAAATTTTTAAAATTAAAGCTCTTCTATTATAATTATCTTCTTTAAGTACAGTACATGGTATAAAGAAAAAATTTATTGTAAAATCCCTATCTCAAATTTGGATTTTGAAGCAGAAAAATATCTTTTCTTAGTACAAAAAATTTACTGAGGAATTTCCTTGTGCTCAATTATTTTATATCACAATGTATAGAAATATCACTATACTTATATCCATTTTCTTGGAGAATATAATGAATCATTGTCCCTCTAAGTTTTATTATCTACCTGCATGTAATGACAATATTTTATTATCTGAATTTTGAAAGCCTATTGTAATGTAATTTTATATCTTTACATAAAACCTGACAAAGAATAACGAAAAAAATTTTTCACAGGGCTCATGAAATTTATATTTAATTCTTAGTTACATTAAAGTAAACTATTTGACAAATAACACTAAATATATATTAAAAATCATTATAAAAAATTTTAAATACTGAAATGCTTTAGAGTTTCAGAATAAACACTTATCCCATATTGAAAAGTGTCTGATATTTTAATGTATATTTGTTTGTCTTCAGATAAAATAAAATTAAAATACATGGTTTCTTACTTTGCATAAATCTTAATCAAATATTGATTATATCTTAAAATTTAACAAAATCTAATTAAGCATCTCATTTATATTAATAACAATCAAGTGTAATATATTTCCTTTATCAGTTCCATTATCTTTTCTATACCTGTGATATATTTGTGTAGAAACTGCCAGCATCTGTCTTCCTATCTGACTCAGTCATCTTAAGAGTAACACATCTGGTTTTTACAGCCTCTACTTTCAGGAATAAGTGACTAAATATTCTTCACTAACTCTACTCTTATGATGCTATATTTTTCCTTATTTAGACAATGGATCTTTGATCTTGTAGATCCATGCACTTATGTTACTGTTTATTGTCTGATTTGGTATCAATTCCCTATCAGTCAAGACAGTCAATGTGACAAGTATACTATCCTTCTTTCCCTTCATTTTATATCTTTATCCTCACTCTACTCCTACATAGTGATCTTTACTTAAATTTCAACACTAATTATTTTTTAAAAGAAACAAAAATGTTTACATATTCTGCTAGTTTCTCCTTTGCAAATTATATTATACTATTTTCTGCTTTTAATACTTTTCAAACTGATATTCTTCTTACTCTACTCTTCTGCTTATTGAGGTCTTAAAAATATAGTTTTAAAGTCCCATATGAAAAAACTATATTTTTAAGACTCCAATAACAAAAGAGTAGATTTTCTAAACTATAGAGTTAATTTTTCTTTTATATATTTGATCATTTTATAAATTTCTCTTATGATTTTATCTAAGTTTTATTTGTTACTATGTTTTTGTTTTATATCATTTTATTCTGTTTAGACACAAAATTCTGTTTCCAAAAGTTAAATCTTGATTTACAATGATAGCTTTTTATATCTTCTTATTACAGATATAGTAAAGGTATAAAAAATATATTTATCATTCTTCTACCCTATCTTTTTAAGTTGGCAGCGTTTCAATTCCATGTTTCATAACATGCTATTGGACAGAATAATAAATATGTAAAAATGATTTAAATAAATAATGATATAAAAACTAAGAAAAGAACAAGCAAAATAATGCAAATTCAATATTTTGAGTTACACAATTAAAAATTTTAATTGAGATGAATATTCATAAAATTCATGATGCCAATTCATGTGATTTTTTCACTCCATTTATGTGATTTTCTTGGCTGAGAAAATCACATAAATTTTATTTTTAAATCGACAAATTGAATGCTATTTTCTTAGCCAATTAAAAAGCATTAAAGCTTTCATCACAAAATTTCCATGTAATAACTGTAAGATCTGCATAATATGTTTCATAGTGAAGTAAGAGTATAAAATAAATCATATTCATAAAAAATATACAGTTTTAAAATTAAAATATTCAAAATAAGTAATTAAAAATTTAAAAACTATATTAATAAAAATGTTCATTTTACATGAACATTTTTTTAACATGATTTTTAATTATTAAAACTTCCTTTAAATCTTAAAACTGCTAAACCATTAAATATTCACAATAATAATTGACCAAATACTTGAGAATTTATATAAAAAAAGAAACAAAGCATAAAATGTTTTTCCTTTTTGGTCAACTACAACTAATGAAAGTAATAATTATTTTACAAAATAAACGTATTTTTTGCTGAATTTATTAGTAATGATTCATAAGTTTTCTAAATCCTAACATGTTTTACTATTGACCAAGCTTGTCCTTATGATGTGATTCATCACACTTTGTAATACCGTACAATTAAAAAAAAACTCACTTTAGTTAATTACAAAAATATTCTTAAGCTATTTTATATAAAAAATGCTATTTTTTTTTAATCAATAAAAAAGAAAAACTATAAAGAAGGCATAACAACAGAGATTAAAGATCTACAATCTTCTACATATAAAAACATTTATGCACACTTCTCCAGTTTTATAATTTATCTTAAGTATTTTAAAATTATGAATTTGCTCTAACAATATTTATTTTTAATAAACTAGCATATATATCTTTAAAATATTGTATAAATGGCTTTAATAAATAATCAGTTAAAGCAGACATTTATGTAAATAAAATAAAGGCCTAATCAGATTTGCCAAGACCTCCACTGGCTTACTAAGATCTCATAGGGTATATCATAACTGTGATTTTTAAAGGCAAAAAATCATAGTTTATTATATTTATTTCATTAAAAATGCTGAAATTTAACTAAAGATTCTAAATAAAACTGTAACAGAAAGCATATGTATTTAATAAATATAAAATTCAAAATGTAAACAAACCTATCGTAACATTGTACATTTAAAACCATATAAAATTTATTACATTTTAAGTGTATATCTGATTTATTTAAATTATTTTCAATTGAAACTATCGGTACGTAAGCTAGCATTTTAATCATGTCGGTGTATAGAAATGATTGAAGCGTAATTTGTCTCGGTGATGGATATTTATACCCTTTGATATTTAAAACCGAATAAAGAAGATTATACAGAATTTATTATTCATTTATTACATTTCATCAAAGTGAATTTATAATAAAAAAGAAACAATATGATAACCTGCAACCTTATAGATATTTTTCAGATATTAATTTATATTTAAAATGAATAAATTAAATACTACCTTATATACTTTTCCAAAGGCTCCATCTCCTAATTCACCAACAATACTCCAAAAATCCTCAGGATTTTCATTAAATCTAATATTATGATAGAGTCTCTTCCTCTTATTTTCACTTCCAGTTCCTCCTATGCTAAAAATCTTCTTGAAATTACTAAAGAAAGACATCTCGTCGGCTTTATAACATTATATGACGATAAATATATCTAATACATTGTACATTGGCAATAATCCGCATGGTAAAGTAAAAATTAATCGATTTCACACTTCAACACTAGGCACAAAACAAAACAAAAAAAAATTAAAAAAAACACTTAAATAATCCGATATTCACTGTTTAAACGATAAATCCGACGTGATAAATAATAAAAATGAAATCACTTCGACAAATTAAATCATACAAAATGTATATTAAGTAAAAAATATTTCCATTTTCCAGTTCATAAAAGTCACTGGATAACACACATCTACCAACAATCCGCCATATTCTCAATGGCGTGACGTCATTTCACGCGCGCTTTCACATTCTGAAAACATAGGGATTTTTCCCTGTAATTTTCCTTAATAAAAGCAGGATTTTAAAACAAGAAAGAATTTTTGAATTTCCAACGGAATTTATTTATCTATCTATTTGTTTATTTATTATTAATTAAACTAAACATTATTTTGATCGACGATTTAAATGTTAATTTAAGGATTTATTAACTTAAAATGTTATTTAGTTAGAAAAATTAAATAAATGAGATATAAATATTAAATAAATTAAAAATATAATAATTTTTTCAGTAATTTGGAGTAGTATATTTAATTATTTTCATATTAGAGATTTCGGTTTTACTTATTGTCGCGATAAGAGATTATTTTTCAACATTTCCTACTACCAGAATTTTTTTCTTAATTTATTATTATTATTATTACAAAAATTTATAGTAGATTATTTTATAAATTCAATTTTCTTAAAATAAAAAATACTTTATTACAATTATTTCCTATTATTAAATTTTTTTTAATTTTTTTTTTGGAGGTAATTTTTTAATTTTTCCTACTATTCAGAGGTTTTTTTCAAATATTTCCTGCTACCAAGCTCTTGTTTTCTATGGAAATATGATTGTAAGTTAACTTATATTAGAAAATTATTAATTATTAAAGGGTTTTTACTTAATTTTTCCCTCAAACATTCTTTTAATATTGGAATGTTCGATTTATCTGCCATAACGGATGATTTATATTTTTCAAATTTTCCGCCATTTTAGATTTGTACGTCATAAGAGAATCTATTGTAATATTTTCCTATAATTTATTTATTTATTTTATTTTAGGTTGGTTAACCTTTTAAGAATCTTATCAACTGAGGATTTGCTGTAAGTATTTTTTTTTATTCTTGCATATTATTGTACATATTTTGTATATTAGATATGATCTTTTACTATATTTTCCTATTATCTCACACTTTATCTTATTATTTTACTATTTTATAAATAAAAAACAGGGAAAAAAATCATTGTAAAAGAGTTCTTGACCAATCTTTAAATCAGTTATTCATAAAAAAAACAAACTTCAACTGTAATAAATACAGTATTTTTAACAGACAAGACCTATAAAAGGTTATTTTATAGCCCTTTCAGTTCTGAATTACAATGATCATTGAAGTAGAACCTATTCACAAAATATATCAGTCTACATCATTGAACTGACTTCCACTTTCAAAATACTTTTACAGTAATAAAATTTCTGTGCAAAAGCATGTAAAATTAACTACAGAAAATGCACTGTTTTTGTCTGTATACAGTAATAACATTTATACTAATTTCTTCTCAATTTTTATTTTATAATTAAAACAATTTTTCACTTGTTAATAAAGTGAAAATTAAAATAATGAATTGCATATATACTTAACTGCATTATTTAAAAATATATGCATTAATTTATATTTTAATAGCTTAATAATGTCATATAATTTGAATATAGCAATGAAAAATTCATATATACTAATGTAGATAATATATAAGCATAGTAGGTTAACAGGAAACCTTTGACCTTTAGTTTATTCCATTTATCATGAACGTTCACAGATGGTTTTTTTTTTAAACTGAATAATAAGCTGGATAATATATAAAAGTATTAAGTAAAAGCTTCAGTTTATCTATCAGAATCTTATATTCTTTTTAATGTATCTTGACGTTCAGTTAAATTAATTTATTAATAAGTAGATATATATTAAATAGTTGTAAACAGGATACTCCCAAGATATACATTTATTCTTCCATAGGATTACATAGTAATAACAATCGTCCTTTCATAGAAATTACTCTTCCAGTTATGATGCATTTGATATATCCTAAATAAAATGACATATTTATATTTTTATATACCAGTTTAAATTCTAAGGATATGCAGACACTAAGGATAAAGTTGCATTCAAAATAAGAGTCTCAGTTAGTCGTTGACCCTTCAAAATATGAATATCAAGTGACCATTACTATTATAAAATTTACTTGTGTAAAGGATTAAAAATGAATAAAATAAAGATTTTAATAATAAAATTTAAATAAAAGTGTAGAAATTAATAATAAACAGGTTAAAATCTACAAAATTGTCGTAGTTGTTTTTAACAATAAGTCATTTAAATAGCTTTAAAGTTGGGTTAAATGGTATTTAAAACTTGGCTTGAGTTTTTGTTATGTTTTTCCTCTTTGTTTGGTATAATTTACTTACAACAGCGTAAATAATAATAGTATGACAGCGTAAATAATTGCTCTTACTATTAACCTTTAATCCATCAAAACTTTTTGCAGTCAGAAAAACAAACAAGAGTCAAAAGCAGATAAATCGATAAATAAATAAATAAATAAAATATAACTAGAATTATAGATTTTATTAAATAAAATTCAATTTTTAATTAATTTAATTACTCTTATTGAAGTAATTAACATTTTTTTTATTAATATTTCACTTCAAAAAATTATATATAATATCTAATTTCTTCGCATTCTGGTGCACAAATTGTGTAATATTTTAGGTAAATAATGTAAATTCTTGAAAATTACTGTAATTTCTACAGAAAAATTCGGATTTTTGAGCCTATAAGTAACACAAATTTCATAGAAAGTTGTTTAAAATTACGCTTTTAACTCTCTTACGCGATTATAAAACGTTCCAAGTGTTATATTTAAACAACTTTTTTAGAAATTCCGGTATAAATTAACGTTATAAGTTTATGAAAGTGTAATTTTCCTTTAATCAAGTTTGTAACTAGCATTTGTTACTGAAATTTTCACACAGAAGAGAATATTATTCGACAGGAAATGGGAAATTTTTCCTTATTTGACCTGACATCAACAACAGATCAGTTTAAAAAGCAGAAAAAAAATGTAACAGGTCAGTGACTAAGGACACACACAAAAAAAATAAATAAATAAATAAATGATTCGCGTGCTTAACGGTGGAGGTACATTTTAAATGCAACAATGCCGCTTTGCATAAGTTATACCGAACATTCAATGCTTTATAGAATACCTGAAGGCCTGTACCTATATTTTATATAAATTTACATGCAGTTAAATTATTGAATATTACATTTTTCATGGTTTAAGTTTCCATAGCATGCAACTGAAATGAAATATAAAATGTTACTGTGTACTATGTGTACCGTTAAAGTATAATTATTATATATTTATATTTTAAATATAAATATTCTGTGAAAAATCACATTTTTAGCGCACGTTTAAGTAAATTTATACGGAAATATCAAAATTGAGTATAGAATAATGCTTTTATTCTTGTTCTTAATGAGGTAAATGGCTTTAAAATCATTTTTAAGTGAGTTATAATGTATAATTATTTATATTTCAGACAATCCCTTAAGGTGATGTTATAAATTGAGATTGTGTTCTCGATAAGCTACAGCAAGAGGGCTAACAAGAATATATGACACTTGAATAGCTGTAATAGAGCATTTATACCAGTCGTAAAAGCGGGGGTATACTGTAAAATACGCCCAACTTTATCATATGTAAGGTCTATCAATACACTTTTTGATAAGATTTCTTAAGGAATTTAAAATTTATCATAAGTTTTAATATATATTTTTTAGTTTCAAAATCGAAAAGTTTGTAATGTTCATTGCAAAACATGAAATTTTACAATTTGTAATTATGCTTATGTATAATTTTAATTGCTTCACTCAAACAAGTCAGTTACCTACTTATATTATAATATATTTTTTCTTCTTTCAGAAATATTTATTTTGCTATTTTTAGACCTTAGTCTATGCTGTAGAGAAGGGGACCTAAAGTAGTCCTTGTAGTTCGGGGTGTTGTAAATTTACACACTAAGTAGACCTTGTATAGACAATACTTGTATGGCTGCACCTAAGTAGACGGTATTTAGATTAATACTGGCTCACAAAAAAAAAAGGATGGGGTCAATAAAAGGTCAAAGAATCTTTAAAAGAACCAGCCAAAAAGTTTGATGATCCTATTATAGTGCTTAATCTTCTATTTTACGTGCATCTTATAGCCTTATTTTACAAATATCTGACACAAAAAAACCGACAGAATCATATCTAAAAGTTAAAATAACCTCTTTTCGGGTATTTAAAATGAAAAAATCGATTATATTTTCTACAAAATAACGAAAAATTAAAGCAGAAGTCTTTCAGAAATCTCATTTATCTAGCTTACATCATTAATCTAATATTGAATAATTTCCGCATTTTTGTAACAGGTTATTAACACGAAAAAGTCATTTATCATTTTTAAATATTCTATAAACCTTTACAGCTATTCAATTTGTAGTTTATGCCAAGGTTATGATGCAAAATAATGTAGAAAATATTATTTAAAAACATGCGGATGCATTCACCATTCGTCATAATATGGTTAAGTAAGCAACAATCAGTTTTTGTTACGTGATATCACATTAAAAACATGAAAAAAAAAATGGTAAAAGAAATTTAAATTTGAATTTTTTTTTTGTTTGAGAGAAAGTAAAATGAAAACGAAACATGGAAATTTTTGGACTCAGGGGACCTTGAAGCATTCAGAAATGAAAAAAATTAGGGCTTTTCTGTATACATACATACAGAAAATCTCCATTTTTTTCATTTCTGTGTATGGAGGGTACACATTTGTTCACCTACTTTGAAGCTTAATAACTCTCGTGTCTTTCGTCGAAAATTTCTGAAATTTTGTAGGGACGTTTTCGTATTAGAACGAAATGTTCTTAGAAATTTTCAGGAAAATCCGAGTATTGGTTCAGGAGATATTTCCCTACCCCTTTAATATCCCCCGAACCAATCTGAAAACTTATAAAATAATTATAACAATTATTAGAGATGAAAACACATAAAAATGCCGGAAAAATCCAGCAACATTGCTAGCTTTTTAAGCCTGATATGTGAAAATCTTGTACTGTATTTACTACAATTGTATTTTATTTAATTAAATTGTGAATTCTAGAATATTTATCACTCTTTATTTTTATTGTAGAGATCTTTTTATTGGATTTTTTCAATAAACCAAAGACTATTTAAACCATTACATGGACTCTAATCGAAGAAAATCCCGAATCGATTTTGTAATTAGTGCACTTGGAAATGGTAAATGAAGCAAAAGTAAATACAGATACTTCGAGAGATCCTTTAAGGTATAACTTATTGTATATAATTCTACAATTAGCATATAAAAACACAGTTAAAACATTTAGTCAATTTTATTAATATGTAAATTAATTACTTGCTTGTATACAAAAAAAAAAATGTGATTTCTATCGACGTAAATTCCATTAAAGTATGAACGTTATTTCGAGATAATCTGTCAAAATGTCTTTTGCTTTGTATTGTTTTCTTTTTTTCTCAACAACGTGACAAGTTATAAAGAATGACAAATCGTTGTGATTCCGGATATAAATTACACTTTTGTAATTAATTATATGTTTATTATTATAATATTTGGTAACCTTAAAGTTAATATCATAATCTTGACCTACTTTCTTTCGTATCGCATACAATTAACACGGGGACTTGAATTTTCTTTCTTCATATATCTCACTTCATTATGGTTAGAATAGTTAATTAATTGTTATATTAAATAAAGGATACATTCGAACCTCGATTTAGCACCAATTTTCAGAGTATAGGCTATTACTTTTTTTTTTAATTTAATGGTGATACAATTAGATATATTGCAATGTATTTTGCACAGTCTTCTTCATTTTTCATTGGGTTTTTTTTTTATAGATACTGAGTTAAATTTTCAATTGAATTTATGCAAAATCTTTTGTTTTATTCCAGCTTGTGTGAGGAAGTAAAAATGGCGATAATGTTTCATTTATCACTCTATAAATAGTTATAAATAAATTATTTAAATATTGAAATGAATACGTTTGAATAGATTTAATTTATTGTATTCTGAGAATAACAAAAGTCTTTTTTAAAATACGTTTTTATTATTCTCAGAATGCTATTAAAATTGCACGATACGTTGTGTCAATTCTAAATATATATTTTTTAGTTTCAAAATCGAAAAGTTTGTAATGTTCATTGCAAAACATGAAATTTTACAATTTGTAATTATGCTTATGTATAATTTTAATTGCTTCACTCAAACAAGTCAGTTACCTACTTATATTATAATATATTTTTTCTTCTTTCAGAAATATTTATTTTGCTATTTTTAGACCTTAGTCTATGNATTCTGAGAATAACAAAAGTCTTTTTTAAAATACGTTTTTATTATTCTCAGAATGCTATTAAAATTGCACGATACGTTGTGTCAATTCTACCATTTGAAATTATTTTTACAGTACTTTATTTGTGATTAAATAAAGATTTAAAGAAGGAATATTCTAAAGAACAGTCAAACCTCGATATATCTTCGCCTCCGAACGTGGCGCTAAACCGAAGTACCTCGATCAATAAGAATTATTTAAAAAAACAATGAAGTGCAAACACTAGTTTGAGAGTTTGAAAATGGGTTGTAACACAGGCTAATTTGGTGATAACACTGCCATTTGTAGTTCAGTGTTATCACCAAATTAGGCTGAAGCATTCTCTATTTAAGATTCGTTCGTGGGTATTTATCTATTGGCGTTATATCGAGGTTTATGTGCATTATGACGATTCAATAGCAAAATTTTTATTTTTCAATTAATAAATCTAAAATTACAGATTAATTGATGAACTTAACTCATCTTAAAGTTGCTAAAACGATAAAAAAAAAAAAAACATTTTATTCTTGTATCTTTAGAAACTGTACAGAAATATTAAACAGAATTCTTATATTCTATTCCTGATGTATTTTTAATATAGAAACGTTAGGAATAGACTATAAAGATTATAAGGATTCCATACATCACTAATAAAAATATGAGAAATAGAAGTAGTGTCACAATCAAATGACATCAGATGACTTGCATTGTGAAATTTCGAGTGACAAATTTTTTATCTTAATTTGTGTGTGCGTTTTCAAAGACAATTTATACAACTATACACACTCAAACCTCGATATAGCGCTTATAAATAGCACTTCCCTTGTGAATATTTGAACCAATATAACCCTTCGGTATATAAGAATTACTAAATATGAGATTTTTCAAACTCTTAAACTGAAACTTGTGTGTAGACTTAATTATAGTATACATGATTATTACTGTTTTGAGTTCTTCAGTTTAGTGTCACACTCGATTTAGTGCCTGTTTCAGAGATAAAAATAATGGTAGCGCTAAATCGAAGTTTTACTGAATCTTATTAATTAATTTAGTTGGATAGACACATGTACTGTACGTATTAAGATATAAATGCACACGTGTTCTCGAGTAATTACTGAACATATTGTTTATATATATTCATACATAGTAAAATTAATGATAAGGAGGAAGTTACTACACGAATTTCAAGTTACTGTTATGAAAGTGTAACTAAAAAGGTCTTTAGGTTCTTGATGACCCGACATATATGACCTATAATTTGTTTCGTGTATAATTTATCGTGTTGAACATATTCGATGAACATGTATTTAGTAGTTCTTAAGTTCTAAGCCAACATGAGACATCGATTTATATTATATTGAGATATATAAATTACCATTCTACGATGATAAACTAACTTATAAGAGTGTGGTTTTTTAGATAATTCAATAAAATAGAATTCTAATTATATGAAGATTAATTATATTATTTAAATTTATATGTTGCTGTTGTATGTAACATCCAACATTCTTCAAAATTTTAAAATACATATACAAGTGTATTAAAATGAAAACTTTACACACTGAAGTTGTGATTATAAGCAAAAGGATGTTACTTTTCTCAAGTTTTAACTTCTTTAAATTAATTATCTATACTAAATTTTTGTTAATATTGTATTAAAAAATGATATTTTATGTATATAAAAGAAGACAAAGTGTATGAATTTTTATTTATTTTATTCAAATTAACATTATATCGTCTTATAATGAAATACAAAATGTTAAACACAGGATATTTAGCAACAAACTTAACATTTTATGGTTCTTTTAACCAATCATATATTGATAAATTTCGAATAACACAATACAAAATCGACTCTTCTAGGATGATAGATGAGAGATTTTCTCTCTCATCTGTCATCTTCGTACAATTTATCAAATATTAATTTGGTACACTTGTGAATAAAAATAACAAATTGAATTTATTAGTGTGTTTATAATGGTTAACTGGCTTTTGAGTCAACCTGTGGTAATTTGAATTTATTTTTTATTCTATATTTTGCTTGAAACAAAAAAACTTTGATAGTTAACAACCTTTGACTTTAACTATTACACCCTCCAACCCATATTTTTCTTTAGAGTAGGAACAATACAAATATCTTTGAAGCAATCTCGAATTACAACATGAAGAAAGATTGCATTAATACACTCACATAAAGCACCTTTGAATGAAATTACAGTAGTTTCTAGTACTAAATTAGTGTTTATTGCGTGATGAAGGAATATATAATTATCAGATACCATTTATTATTATCAATTTTTTTAAAATTTCCAACTGTTTATACGGGACGAGGTTGAATGTGTATTACTTGAAATGATGCTTATCTCTTTCGGAGAAAATACAGGATATTATGCAATAATGTATATATATATATATATATAATTTGATGACAAATAATTTATTTTATTTTAAGTTATTTTTTTTTTAATTTGCAATTTTTTATTTGTTTATAGGCCTATAAACATGTGCCACGTTGCGTAGAGTCTTTATTACAAGGCGCATATTCACGAACGTTCATCATTTTAAAAATAACACGTAAAATGACGAAATTAGTTTGTTTAATGACTTAAATAGAAGCAAAATTTCTTCATATTTATCTTGCAATCAGCTTTTGAATTACATTAGATGAATTTTATCCCACAAAATATGTGCAAAGTCGATAGCGCTTAGCTTATTCTGTTCAAATATAATGTGATAAAATAATTAAAATAAATAAATAAATAAATAAAATTTTCTTTTAAGTGTTTACAAAAGTGTTTAAATGGAAACAGGTAGAAATTCCCCTTTTAGAACGTGACGGACAGATATTAAGTAGGCATTAGAAATTAATAATTTTCGTTATTTTTAAAGTTAAATTACTCCCAATTTAGTGTATGTAACGTTCTATTTTTTAAAGCAAAAGAGTAATATTTATGTTAATTTTTTTTAATGTTTCAGACTTGTATAAACAGAAAAGAAGTAGAGTTTGCAAGGTCAAATGAATATATCACTGACGATGTGAAAAAAAGGCTATTTATTGCTTTTATGGTCTACGCTATTCAGCAAAGGAAAATTCTAAAAAAGCCACTTCCTCTTTCAATATGATATCATATCCCGTAGCGGAAATGAGGTAAAGTTAAGGGTTTTTACACTTTTTAACACACATAAACTAAAGAATAAATTGTGATAACTTAATATTTAATTCCATAACTTACATATATATATATTATGTTAGGTAAATGGCTCTATAATGTTAAACGTATCCACAACAAATTTGGCACGAATAATCCTATAAAAATACTGTAGAGTTCCCATCCCCTAATAACCCTCTTAACTTAAATCTGAGCAATAATTTTTTTTAATTATTATAGTACTCAAGTCAATAAATTTAGATTTTAGTTACTAAGACCATTGTTTTTATCACCCTCTTCCAACTGAACCTCATCAATTCCCACCCCCACAAAAGCCTTATAACTCTGGGAACACGCAGCTAATCTCATTTATAAAGAAAAAAAAAGGAAAGAATTGACCCATTTTCATAAGTTGTAACTTCCAATTCTTAAAGGTGTGGTCTAAACAAATGAGGTCAGGAACGTATTTCTGTGAATATTTAAAAAATAAGAAATCAAAATACCAATTTATTTGTATACACAAGGAAAAATACAATACCTACCACCAATTTTTAAACATAAATTATAAATGATTCCACTTAGGTGAATAATTCTAAGAAGTAAATGGAATTAGTGTTTATTATATATATATATATATATTCAGGATTTGATTGCGTAATATTTAATGACTCGATTTATTTTCTATGACATAAAAATTGAACTCAATTAATTATTTAATGAATATCAAATGGTGAAGAATTAAACATTGTGAAATTTGGCATGCAAATGGTTTATTTAGTGTTTAAAGTGCATAATTTAGAGAAAAATATTATTACTTTTCTGGGAAAGTATGACGATCATTGAAAAATGGTCCTTATGATTTGAAAAATGCTTATTTATACACTGGTGGATTGATATCTTTTGAGGCCCTTTGCGTAGTTTTACCACATCTTGAACTAATAAATCCTAATTTTGGCTACAGGATTGTTTATGAATTATGATACACAATTGCAACCGTAAAGTTACTTTATTGTTTTTAAATTTTAGAGTTTCCGAGACTCGGGAATCCTAGACACGTCCTACACTTGCCTAGTGGTAATCCTGCACTATATACAGGATGGTCAAAAAGTCAGTTAACCATGTTTGCAAGAAATTCAACACTGAAAGTGTATATCAAAGTGTACTGAACAAGGAAATAGAAGCAATTTAGTCATTACAATGGTTAATAGACTTTTGGGCCACCCTGCATATATATATATATATATATATATATTCTTATAAGTCAATGTATTAATACAGTTTTTTGACAAATACGTCTGTTTAATTTATATTCATTATTTAATAAAATGCACAATTGAGTTTAAAACAGTTTAGCAATAAAAATTCAAGATTTTTACGTATTTTATTCCACGTAAATTTAATTAAACTGAAGAAGAATTAATTAAATTCGTTACTTTATCTACTTATTTACTCAACACAAAATATAATTTGAGTAAAGTTCAACCTAACAAAATATGGCAATTTATGCATGAAGATTTTGATTTAAGATGCTTTATAAATTTCTAAATGTTTAAAGGCCTATATAATTCTATGTTTTGATATAAATATTAAGGACTATATTTATGAAATAATTATAAGAATCTGTCCTACTGACCTAATCCATATTTTACCAGACAAACACGCGAGTACCTGTCAGGTTAGTTTTCACTTAACTGGTTAGATAAACAATACTCCGTAATTATGCAATTCTCTTGCAATTCCCTCATAAAACGAAGTTAGTTTTGTTTGAAGGTCACAAAGCATTGTCCTTACAAGGTAAATATTACGATTAAATCGCTTAGAATTTGGTAATAATTTCTTAATTGATCTTACACGTGTGTATACTTTAAACACCAAAATCAAATTCACACGGAGAAGTGTATCAGTAAGAATTAAACATTTAGTTATTATTATCTTTGTCATTCGTTAGAAATTTATTAATTGATATCACGTAAGAGATTAGAATAACAAATGAAAGCGCCATTCTTTCCCTGGAGGTGAAAATATTATCAATTTTTTTGAAGTGACCTTCGCTTTTGTTTATGCTTCTCCACTGACGTTCATGACTAGCGTTAATGATGATATTAATGGTACAAAATTAAAATTATATTCAAAATATATAAATAGTGTTTTATTATGGAATTAAAAAATAATATTGTTTACAAACACGCCATTATCATTTAAAAATTTGTTCTGAAACGTTTATTATTCGTGTGAATCAAAGAATTACACACACACACACACACACACACACACACACACACAATGCTTAAAGGTAACGTAGAGGACAGAAGTTAAAGGAGGAAATTCTAATTTAAATTTTTGTCACTGGAGAAAAATGATGCTTGACAATTACCTTACATACGTTGTGACATTTCTATTGTATAAAATATATGTTTTGAATACAGACAAAAGTGCAATTTATTATATTACAGAACTGAATAACATTAATCATCGTTATTGCAAAAGGACTATTTAATAGAAATCGAACCAGGAATTACTCCTGTGATCAATAAGAATTTCAAACTATAATCGATAACAATAACAAATAATGTCGCATACTTTCCTTGTAAAGTGTAGAAGTGACATATGAAGAAATATATGGAAACATTGCGCTCGTATTGTTGTTTAAATCACATTATTTTGCATGCTCTGTTCTTTAAACAATACCATATATAGCCATGAATGAGTTAACTCACTTATAACTCATATTGAGTTAAGATATATATATATTTTTACTTTCTCAGCTGTTATGTATAACAGAAGGAAAGTATGGAGATTTTGAGTTTTTTTCCTGCGTGTGTGGAGATAGTACGATTTTGTTCTCCCAGTTCGAAGCTCAATAACTCCTGTGTCTTTTGTCGAAAATTTATGAAATTTTGCTCGGAGGTTTATGTATTGGGGAGGTTGATGCTTTTAAATTTTGATGGTTAAAGCTCGAGGGGATAGGGAGATACAGTCACGTGTCATACCTGGAGTAGGGTTGGACTTGATTTCACTCGTTATTAACTTTTACAATATATATTATAATTAAAGTTTTTGCCATTTTATAATAATTAAAAATATAAAAAGTTTTAAAATAAAATCTCATAACAGATGGCGCCACACATAATTTTAACTTTTTTGCTGGAAAAGTTACGCAACCCATTGCTGGATTTTTTTATTTATTTTGGTTGCATATTAATGAAGAGATGCGTATGTTTTACAATAATTTCTATGTGATAAATTTAATTTCTTCGTTTTTAATAGCTGCTTATGTAGTAAATTATGCATTTGTTATTACTGTTTTAGTGTCTATTTACTAAATTTGGATCCTACTCCAAAATAGTACAGAAACATTTAATTTATTTATAATTATTTGGAAAAATCTATTCCTTAATTAATAAATGCTGAATAACATTGCAAATTTTCACCATAATTATAAAATTTTATATATATTTTACAATCCCAACTCTAGCAAGCCTTAATAAACGAGTTGTTTACAAAGCATAAAGTAGGTCAAATCATATTAAAGTGCAATGTTTATATCATTTAGAGTATATTAATGTTTATATAATGTTTTTCCATGTATAGTTTTATCACGTGATTTTGTATGTCAGGTGTTTGCTTTCTTCTCTAAATAATAGAAACATAATGTATTGTTTATAAGGAGTAATGCTGAGATATTGCCATTAATAACATTATAAACAGGGAATTTATAGATAAGAAATGTTTTAAATATGCAAAATAATTTATTATAAGATTTATTAATATATATTTAAGTGGGAAGTACTATAGTGCTAAGTCAATGTATTAATACAGTTTTTTGACAAATACGTCTGTTTAATTTATATTCATTATTTAATAAAATGCACAATTGAGTTTAAAACAGTTTAGCAATAAAAATTCAAGATTTTTACGTATTTTATTCCACGTAAATTTAATTAAACTGAAGAAGAATTAATTAAATTCGTTACTTTATCTACTTATTTACTCAACACAAAATATAATTTGAGTAAAGTTCAACCTAACAAAATATGGCAATTTATGCATGAAGATTTTGATTTAAGATGCTTTATAAATTTCTAAATGTTTAAAGGCCTATATAATTCTATGTTTTGATATAAATATTAAGGACTATATTTATGAAATAATTATAAGAATCTGTCCTACTGACCTAATCCATATTTTACCAGACAAACACGCGAGTACCTGTCAGGTTAGTTTTCACTTAACTGGTTAGATAAACAATACTCCGTAATTATGCAATTCTCTTGCAATTACCTCATAAAACGAAGTTAGTTTTGTTTGAAGGTCACAAAGCATTGTCCTTACAAGGTAANGCGGTGTTCAGAAAGGAAAAAGCGACTTGTTCTTGGAATCTCTTGGAAAAGTCTTGAACACTCCATCTTCTGATATTTCTTCATTACTATCAGGTTGAGAATTTTATATTTTAATACAGTAGTTGCATATGTGCCGCCATCTTGTGGAATAATTACACATTATAAATCTGTCAAGGAATTACTGTGCTGCATTATTTAACTACAGAAATTTATTTGTAATTACGTATAAAAGATTATATTTATACGAAAACTCAGCTAACTATTTATTAATAATATATTTAATTAAAGAGTAGTCAGATTGATAACAAGGTCTGATAAGAGGAGTTAATTGTAAAAGTTGAGTGCAAAGTGCAGATTGATAGAGTTGAAAAGTTTTCAAAAGTTATGTCTGTATACATTGTTAATATTTTAATATTTTTTGGAATTTTAATATTAACTTGGTTCGGGTGAGTAATTTTTTATATTTAACACTTATCCTATAATACCTAATATTTATTATCTAGAGTCTGTCACTTGTAACAGTGCTCTCGTGATTTTGTATCATAAGTTTACGTTATTATCTTATAAATAAATGATACAGAGCTTACAAGATTTAGATTTAATAATATAAATTTAATTATTATCGTTTTAGTTTGAATTTTAAATCTTATATTTGCATCTGAAAGTTACTTCTAGCGCTCTTTCTGGTTGCTAGATTACATTATACACACTAAATATGGCATATTTGTATGAAATATATATTCTTAAACATCTGTATATATATAAAATTTAAATAGAAAATTACAGCATTTAATTATAATATAAAGAACAGAAGGATTTTCGTACGTCCCATGATAGGACTTAAGTCATTATCCATAGATTTCGCAGTGATGCCAAAGGATTTTATGTAAAATATTTAAAGATTTCTTAAAATTGGAGATTTTTTTAAAATATAATTTGAGTTAAAATGCATATTTTGAGGTAGAAATAAGGGTGGTAAAAAGTGATAAAGGAGTGAACATTAGTGGGATATATATTACGATTAAGGTAAGAATTGTATCCCATTTTATAGCAGATAGGATCAAAGGAGAAAATGTTAACCTTTCAAAGAGGGAGCGAATAAATGTAATCATTAGTCCCTCTCAAACGGCACTTATCCACTTACATCCTATTTCACTAAACGGAAGATTAGATTAACGGCGCGGTTATCAGTTTAACAGGAATTATATAATGAAAGGTCTTCTTAGTAATATTTGAAAAATTAATAAATTATAAAATTAACTTTTAAATAACCTTTTATAATTAAATATGAAGAAATAATTAAGTAATTTGAAGCATTGTATTTTCTTTTTCCTAATTATTTTTATGATAAATCTTCTATTAATTAAGTAAATTAAATACTTAATTTTTATACAATCGTTAAGTAGAGTTTGATACACGTAAAAAACCAATTTTAGTATTGAATGTAGATAGAAATAGATTGTATAATACAAATAATACAACTGTACTATTGTATAATACTACTGTACTGTAAATATATTAAACTTATACATTATACCCATATTATATTGAGAAATACTACTGTATAAGTAAGACTTTTCTTTAAAAAATTGTTTTTATTTCCATAGTACTTATTAGTGTGTTGGCATATAAATTGGTATGTGTATGGGCTTATTAATATGTAAATTCTTGTATTTTACAGATGGAGAAAACAAAAATTTTCTGTGTTTTCTGATAACAGAATTCCAGGACCCAAACCTAGTTTTTGGACAGGAAATTTGAGGGAAATTATTCAATTGGTAAGACTTTTTTTTCCTCCCTTAATTTAAAATTTTCAGATCTTTCTACATTAAAATCTAGAGATAATTACACAAACATCAAAATTAAATAATTTTATATTTTTAGAAAGAATTTTTTGAGTATGAAAACAGAAAAAAATATGGAAATATTTTTGGGTAAAGAAATTTTAAAATTAATTATATTACGAAGATTAATTGATTTATTAAATGATTTTTTAAATCATTTTTTCAGGTATTTTCTAGGAGCCAAACCGATTTTATTAGTTAATGATCCAGAATTAATTAAGATAATTCAGATAAAACATTTCAGAAATTTTTGTAATAAAGATGTAAGCCGAAAATGATGATTATTTTAATATATATTTTATTTTAATTAATTAGTAATAGATTAATTAATAATATATATTTGTTAATTTTATAGTTTATGTTACTTGATGCGAGTATTCCACATCACGTTGGAACGAAAAGTTTACCAGCTGGAAGAGATAAAAAATGGAAGATATCACGTTGTATATTAAATCCATGTTTTAGTTCTAGAAAATTAAAATTGGTAAGTTATTTTATATATTGATTTATTTCAAATTTTTCTTTTAAATAAGGAACTTTATCCTGCCTAACCTTTATAACGTTATGGCAGTTATCAATTGCATCTCATGTTTGACTTTCAAGTGAAGTTTATCCATTGTTAGATTAAATAAATCAGCTTTATATCGTGAATTATTTACGTATTTAATTGATACTGTCTTATAATTTCTTACTTTTTTTCAGATGTTTTACAATTTTAATGAAGCCATTGATGAATTTTTTGTAAATGTCGAAGAAGAATCCAAAAATGAAAGTTCTTTCGATTTATATCCATTTTATAAAAGTTTAACTTTGGATATAATATGCAGGACAACATTTGGATTTAATTGCGGTGTTCAGAAAGGAAAAAGCGACTTGTTCTTGGAATCTCTTGGAAAAGTCTTGAACACTCCATCTTCTGATATTTCTTCATTACTATCAGGTTGAGAATTTTATATTTTAATACAGTAGTTGTAAAAATAATTTATAAAATGTTTTTTTAATATATAATTGATTAAGAAGTTGAATATAATATAAAAATGGAAGAGGTTAACAATTCAAAAAATGATATGAATAATGTTATTACTGCTCATCAATTACTGTATCAATGGTTATATATGTAGGCTACTATATACAATCACTGCAATGTTGCAGTTATGACATTCAAATATAAATTTTATAATAATAAATTCCATAATATGATATTGGAAGTGAAGCTAGTATGAACTTAAATGTTATTTATTATGATGCAGATATCATTCTAAAAACATCAGGAATTATGAATATTTTCTACGTTTTTATTGATTATTAATAAGAATTAAATTTATAAAGCTAAGCTATAATTTATATATATATTTTTTTAGTATGTTTTCCGGAGACAGAACCAATACCAACATTAATTCGAAGAATAAGAGACTACTTCAATAGTAAATATGATAAACCTTCAGTTAAATTATTAGTGGATACTTTGAAAGATGTCATTCGCCAACGCAAATTATCTTTTACTGTGAGTATAACTACTGAAAATTTAAAATCCCCCAAGTAAAAACCTCCAAGAATGTCAATTTTCATTAGAAAAAGGAAGATCTACTTCAAAGTATGATCGATGGAAAAGTAGAAACAAAGCTTTTACACGATGTTAACGATGAAGATCTAGATGCCAAGAATGATAAAGAGACGGAAGAATCCACTAATGGTGACCATAGCGTAAGAAATATTATCTATAAATTAAATTTTCGGTTTGTAAATCATTTATGTTATCATCGCAGTTGGAAACAGCCACATAAGATTGTCTGATGATGAAATAACAGGGAATGCATTGGTATTTATGGCAACTGGGCAAGTTTAAAATTGTTAATTAGATTAATTCGCTTGCATACAGAAATATTAATAATATTTCCCGATAATAGATTCGGCACAACCAGTTCAATTCTTGCTTACTCGTCCTACTATTTAGCAACGCACTTAGAAATTCAAGAGAAAGCAGTAAATCAGATAAGAACGATTTTAGAAGGAAAAAGTGTAAAATTCTCGTACAGAAATATTCATGTTTTTATATTACTTAAAGACTTAACGTTCTAAATTATGTATTTAGATTGAAATTCAATATGAAGATTTGGAAAAATTGGATTATTTGGATCAAATTATATCAGAGACTTTACGTTTACATCCTGCTTCCTCTTTGTATGTATATTCTATATTAAAAAAAATAATTTAAAATAATTAGAGTAATAAATTTTATTTTAATCAATTGATGATCTTACAGATCTATTAACAGAAAAGTTAAAAAAGTATTCAAATATAAAGGAAAAACTATTCCCGAAGATGTAATTGTAAGTATTTCTCCTGAATTATTGCACAGGAATCCAGAATATTGGAACGAACCAGACATTTTTAATCCTGACAGGTAATTTTATATTGGAATTATTATATATTAAGCAATAAAATATTCTGATAATGATATCGAAACTAAATTAAGGCACCTTTTAATTGTCATTCATTTATCAATTTACACTGGGAGTTGATAAATAAACATTCAAATACGGCCTTCTATTACCATTTAATACCGGTAAGTTGTAGTTGAAACAGCGTTTTCTGGGCACTGATAAGTTACAATTCAATATCGCCCTGTGAGAGTTGGTAAAATGACAATTAGACATGCTACATTTCCTTTCAGACAGCGTTGAATAGATGTACTGTAATTAAGATCACTCTGTATATAATAAAAATTACATACAGTCGACCCCCCTATAACACTGTTGATAATTCCGTTTTATATACGTGATCCCGGCACACGTATTTGTAAAATCTAAGTGAAATCTAAGTGACTCGTACAACATGGAATTCATATAAAACGGAATTATCAACAGTGTTATAGGGGGGTCGACTGTGTTTACTTTGATACTCTTTCCAAATGTTTTCATTACTTTAATGAATTATATTTAAAATGAATATTATTAATAAATTAATTTTTAATTTTAAGATTTTCTGCCGAAAATAAAAGAAACATTAATACCACAATTTACCAACCGTTTGGAAATGGACCAAGGAATTGTATTGGAATGCGATTTGCCTTGACAGTTATCAAAATTACCTTAGTTCGAGTTTTAATGAAATATAAACTGGATAAACCGCCAGATTATGTAATTGTTTTTTTAATTATTAAAAATAATTTTATTTAGTTGAAAATTTTAAAAAGTTCTGTTGTAAAACAATTAATTACGCACAATGTTTGTAGTATTTCTAAGGTAATCAATAAATAACTAGCCAAAAGTAACAGGATGGTGGTCGTCCCAGCTGTTTCTTTATTGATTTAACCTAATATTTTTAGCAAACACATGTATAAAACTAAGGACTTTTTTAAATTTATTCTTTTTATATGTTTCATATTGTTCAAACACTTTGCTAATGAATAATTATAAGTATTTATATTTTTTTTAGGTGTTAAAGTGTAATCATTCGTTGTATGGATCGACACCGAAAGATGTTTACGTTCGTATGACTCCAAGAACTATTTAAAATAATAAATATTCTCTTGTTAACATAATTGTAAATTCAACTTTAATCCATTATTAAATACATTTTTTTCCACTATTTTTGTGTTTTGTATTTTGAAATAATGTCTAACGCCAATTAGTGATACGAATGATATTTCTGCACAATTTAATCTCCAGTGGCTGAATGGATAAAACCATTGAACACTTGGTCGTGAGTTCGCGCCACGCCAAAGGACCAGAAGCCATATACTTTATATTAAAACAAACAACAAAGCTTGCATCTATATGGGATTGTGTCGTTTTTCATCAGAGAGGTGTAGCCACAGTTTTTAATACACAGAGACCAAACTTCCTGTACAATAAAGTCTATAGTTCGTCCGACACTCCAATGGGATGGCTTACATGGAATTATTGTGTTACCTCGATGTGTGAAAGACTGGTGTACTGTACGTGTATACTCAGTCGCCATTTGTTTATTGTATTGATACGTACAGTACCATCAGCAAAACATTCATAATCGTAATTAATACGATAACGAATCTGTGAACCAAGTGTTTTTTTTATTATACAGTACGTGTAATACGTGAAAAATCCTGTAATCTGATACCCGCCGGTCATGTTTTGAGACCCCCTGAACCCAAAAAACGCAAAAAAAAAAATTTCGTGGGTATGTGTGCACGCGCCTGTGTATTGGCATCTATTTCGCTTAATATCTTAGGAAGGGGTAAAGATAAAAAAATGAAATATGGCATGGTAGATTGTATATAAGGGAAATTAATGCTATTAAATTTTTGTTGTAAAAGGTCAAGGGGATGGAGGGAGGTCATGTGTCATATCTTGCGAGGGTCAGACTTAATGACGATTTTACTTATTAGAGTTTACAGTGTTTTATAAAACTCATATCTACCCTCAAAATTAAGTCTTTTGCTATTTTATAATAATTAAAAAAATATAAAAGTTTTTATAACAAAATCTCATAACAGCTGACGCCACGTACAATTTTAGTTATTTATTTTGATTAATGATACAAATGTTATGTTGAAATTAAAATTTTATAAAAGTCGGGAAAGTTCCGCAACTCATTGCTAGATTTTTTAAATTGTTCTCCGAACACAATCATATATATATAGGCCTATATATATACAGTGGGTGATCGGTTAACGAACATAATCCGTTCCAAGACTTTGTTCGCTATCCGAATTGTTCGTTAACCGATTATCGATTTACCATAGGTTTCTATGGGAATTTAATTAATTCGTTCTAAAGACCCCTAAAAATAAAAAAATATATACTTTCTTACTACGTTTATTTATATGTAATAATAAAAATACATACACACACAGTCTTGCATTTTTATTAGTCATATTTTTTTCCGTTGAAATGGTTAAAGAATATGTCTAATGTCAATTGCTTTCCTCTCTTTTTCAGGATTTTTAAGTAATTAATAGCATTGCAATTGTAGAAATCCCCAAGCCTCAACCTGGTTTAGATGCCATTCTAAGACCGTTGTTCTGACATCCTCCCACTTCTTCAAACGATCTTTAATAACAGATATCGGCATTAATCCTCTTTTTCAGAAAGAAACATATCTCGCCGAGATTCTTGGTGTTCTTCATTCAAGAGTTCTTGGCGTTCTTCTGTCGTCAGATCTGTTTCAGGTTCCATTATGAACTCTTCGATGTTCTTTATTTCTCAGATGTGATTTTTGTTACTCCTTTAGCTGCTTGAGTCTTCTTGATTATACAGTATGTTTCTTAAATAAGATTGAACTTCAGCCTACTGTAGACCTGTTTACGCCATACTGCCCAGCAACATTAGTTATCTTCTGCCCACTCTCTACCTTTGCTATTATACTCTCACCTTTCGAAAAGAAAAACAGACGCAAAACTTAACGATTACCTACCCGACAGTCTCGCGAATACATAAAAGAATTATTTTGTCAGAAAAATAAAAGGCTGGAATTACAAGGGAGAGTTTCAAAGTTCGGAGGAATACTATCCGATCGGTATATACCGGCTTGAGCGTCGATGTCGACGTTTCCCACACTCCGAAAAGTTTCGAATTGTTTCCTGAAGACATGGGAAGACCAATCGGTATTCATTATTTTACATCGCTTCTTCTTGTGTTTGTTCTATGAGGTGTTCGTTATCCGATCTGTTCGTTAACCGATCACCCACTGTATATATATATATATATGGAATGCCTATACGCAACTTTACAATCAATAAATTCCCAAGTAACACGCAAAAACAGGTGATTTTTAAGTAGTGTGGTTTCTTACTGAGTTTTTATCTTTAAAACTGTTGCCATGGTGCACTCCTGCGGACCCTACACAACAATAAAACGTAATAAATTATTGAAATTACAAATTTTAGGTAGAGTAATAAATGTATCTTGAATCAATTAATAGCACTTCACGTGGGATGTTTATTTAAGCTGGTAGTGGAGACGTCATAAATCAAGAGAACCACATAACAGGATAGGATAATTAATGCATCATCACAACAAGTTTAAAAATAAAAATAATGTATAAATAGTAATATAATAATAATAATAACTAAATTAATAACTAATAATAATACTTAATAACTAAAATAATATATTAAAACTTGTTTATTTTTTTATATCTTAGTATTGTCGATAATATGAACATTATAGGCTATAATTATTTATATTATAAATTTTTTACGTAGTAACTAAGCAACAAACATCTTCAAAAAAATGTTGAAAGTTGCAAGTATTAATATATTAATTTCTTTTTCAAAAATTTCTGACATGTTTCCAAGGTGTTGGTATTCTATACACATCGATTCTTATTCCATCATGTTGCTGTTATATTTTCTTATAGTATGGTGTTTTTCTAGTTCTTATCAAATTATACCAAGCGATAAGATAACAGAGATGAAGGCAAGCTGTAAATTTCGTGAAGATAGAATCCTGGATGTTACTCCTATTGCTCACTTCGAGAACACTCATCAGATCGCTTGTTTGTCGAATTGCATTAAGATGGAAGGATGCAAATCGTTTAATTTTGGACAAGGAAACTGTGATTTGTTACCCGTAAAAGTCTGTGATAATGGAATCGAAAGAGAATTTATTGATAAAGAAGGGTTTAGCTACTATGATCTGTATAACAAAGATGAAGTGGTAAGTTAGAAAAGTTTTAATTTTTAAATTTAATTTCCAAATATATATATTTTCTAATGAAAAAGTGTTAAGTGGAAAGAATATTGTCTAGAAAAATTAAGAGATTCTTAACTAAAGACATCTAATTACAATATAAAAAAGGATTTTTTTTAGGCTCTTTTATAATTGTTTTAAATTTAATTAAATTTAAGCGGTTAAATAGTTTTGTATGAAAAGAACTGAAGCAGCAATTGGTAAATTAAGCATTTTTTAACTTTAGTAGTGTAAGTACGCTCTACTAATTTTATAATTTATGCATATTTAATGATCAGAAATGTAGAAAACAGAATACTTTTGGATTTTAAAATATAAATTTCATTTTATTTTATAGTTTTTTTTAAATAGACTAAAATACTGTTTTAAAGTAACATAATAGATTAAATGATTATGATTGTATGATTGAATAAAAAGTATACGATTTTCAAAAATTTTTAATTATTTATTGTAATGATAATTACAGGAGAGCTCGTCTAAAACTTGGAAGACCGAAACTTGCACTGTTCATGGAAAATGTTTAGCCGAATGTCGTAAGTATAAGGATAACTGTAATTAAAGAGCTCTGTAGAAAGAACTATTAGGCAAATATCAATCAAATTTTGTATAAATACTGTCCTGGTTTTGATTTACGAGAAGAAAGTTTACTTTGAAATTCAGCCACTAGGGAAAGTTTGGCGCTGTTGTCTCTTTAATATGTGTATTATTTACTTTTGCTAACGAATTTCGGGTATAAAAGCAATCGCAAAACGTTCTTCACAATTCTTTGATAGGTGAATAGTCGGGGTGCTCGTTTGCCTGACTGTGTATTAGGCTCTAATTGTTAAAACTCTTTAAATTGTCTATTTCATATTCCACGTTTGTTAATCTTATCTGTAATTGAAATTAATTTATTACACTATTTCTATTAACTCTCGAAATTCTTTGGAAAACCTATGTAATATGAACGTAATGAAGCAGCGTGAAAGTTTGCCTTAGCGGTTGAATTTTCAAGTAAGAAACTTTTACTCAATTCAAAATAGTATGCACAGTACGAGTATACCAAATTTGGTTGACATTTGTTTTTTCTACAGAAAGCACTGACTACCTACTCTTTATTTGTGATCACTTTGCATATTATTTTAATAACTATAAAAGCTAAAAAAGTACAGATTTAATGTAATAAAAATGATATAAACATATATAGAATTTTCTACATAGAAATTTATATCGCCTAAGTGATTATTGGACTATTTTTTCTTACAGCTCTAGTTACAACCACTACTCAGTCGACTACTACTTCCACAGCTACTAAGCCTGTAACTACTACTAAAATTTCTACAACTACAGTAACCACACCAGTTACTACCACTACAACAGAGCTTCCTACCACAACAACCAAATCTCCCACTTCAACAACAACAACTATCAAGACTCCGACAACCACAACTACCATTACCTCAACAACTACTAGTACAAGTGAATCACCTACAATGACTACTACTGTTGAACCTTCGACAACAACCACGACGACTATTACTGAGCCTCCAACAACAACAACTACTACTGAACCTCCCACCACAACGACAACTACGGAGCCTCCCACTACAACGACAACTACGGAGCCTCCCACTACAACGACAACTACGGAGCCTCCCACCACAACGACAACTACGGAGCCTCCCACCACAACAACTACCGAGCCTCCCACCACAACGACAACTACGGAGCCTCCCACCACAACAACTACCGAGCTACGGAGCCTCCCACCACAACGACAACTACCGAGCCTCCCACCACAACGACAACTACCGAGCCTCCCACCACAACGACAACTACCAAGGTTCCTACGACAACTACGGAGCCTCCCACCACAACGACAACTACGGAGCCTCCCACGACAACGACAACTACTGAACCTCCGACGACAACTACTGAATCTCCGACGACAACTACCGAATCTCCGACGACAACTATCGAGCCTCCCACCACGATTACTACAGAGTCACCTACAACAACAGAAACTCCAACAACCACAACTGCTGAGCCTTCTACAACTACTACAACTGAACCACCAACTACAACAGAAACCCCTACAACTACGACTCAAAAGCCTACAACAACTACCCAGATGCCTACAACAACAATCGCTCCGGTACCCACAACTACAACTGAAGGTAATTATTTCTGTTGTATTGTTCAGAATATGTTAACTTTATAATTGGTTAACTGTATTAAATAATGAAATTATATTTTTCCGTAACAGCCGCTACTACTTTGGGTCCATGTAAGTATGAATTATTTTATTCTCATTAATTTAAACGAACAAATCTACATTTACATTAAACAATTCCTCAATGTAATTAAAATTTTAGTTAAATAAAATTAACTTACATCCACAATTTCAGTAATTTAGGCTTGTTTTTAGTGTTGACAATTTGAAATTAAAATGCATATTAAAATAAATTTTATGTATTCTTGTAAAACAATTAAGTTCTTGCTTTAAACTTTACAAATTTCTGAAAGATCCTTTTGTAATTAAGAAAATATGAAAGATATATTTCGATTTATTCTGATGGGCACCCCAAAATCTCTTTGGCCCCGGCTGCACCCCTTCTCATAGGGCCTGATTACGTTTTTATTCTTAAAAAAAATCAAAACAACATTCAGTAATCTATATTAATTGTTAGGTGTACTGTACATTTTTGGTTTTTAAGTGTTCTGATGTAATAGAGAAACAAGGGTACACAAATTATTTTAGGCACCAAAGTACAAAATACAACTATTAAGTTCAACAAATTAACGTACAAGCTTCATCTGTGTTCACGAGAGTGAATGTTTTTATTCGCTCTCGTGAACACAACTCTAATTATCTTTACACACATGGAATCTTATAAATAGCGCAACCCGTTAATACGTCTTAAAGCAGAAGTACTGGTACCATCTTGTATTGAGTAGACTGTAGTTACTGAATTGCAAGAATTTTTAAAATATATATTAATATAATTCTTATTCAAAAAAGCAAAAAGTATAAAAATAAATTTCAGGTGAACCCCGTCCCTTTGTGAATGCCATTGTTGGGAAATACTTTTATGGTTTGGTTTTATTTGTATATTGCAACGCAACACGTTTGCAATCTGCCCATAAAAGGACTTTCTAAGGAAAACTGGCCCTTATTTAGATGTTACTACTGTGAATAAACCCAGAAAACTTCACGTAGTCAGCTCGTTTGCAAGGCGCGAACCCATTAATGTTTTATCCACTCAGCCACTGATGGACACTTCTAAATTGATAATACACAATAACTAATATTAATAATACTGTTTAATTGACATTTTATTTATTTATTTAAATTTTAGGTGATTACGAATATACTTCTCACTCAGAATTAGAAACGTGTCTCACGGCAAAGGACAAATGTGAACTGGCTCTACCCACAACTGTCAATCAAAATCTGCATATCATTCACGCCATTAAAGATGGACCAAAACCCATTGCTGGGTGTTACTGGTTCGGATTAGAAACTGTGGAATTTCAGAACGATCGTTTTAAACTTGGAAAAACTGGTAAAGAATTGAAAGGTTCAGACCTACTTTTTCCAGACGATTTTAAATTCGTAAAATCGGGATGTATAGCTATTAGTACTAGTCCCTTTGTTTGGGATGTTCTACCAACAACAGGAAAGTGTGGTTATGTTTGTCAGAAATATATTGGTTAACTTTTATCATACTGGGCTGCAAATTGAAAAAAAAATTGTAGACCTATAAATTCCCACTGTTTTTAATCTCGAGAACGTAGTTAGATACATGACATCGACACAGTGCTCTTGATTTTGGTAGTGTCTTTCCCCTATACATCATACTTTTCCTGTTAACAGTAGAGTCGTGCCAATTGTCTATCTAACTATACTCTCGAGATTAAGAAAGGACAGACGGACGAACAGACATATGCCAGTGGAAATTTATGAAAATTGCAGCCCAAATATGGAATAATTCTCACAGACTGTTTGATTAGATATCTACATCAAATGTTTTATTAGCAATATAAGTAAATAAATAAATAGATGAATATTAATTATAATATCGAAAAAAATGATAGATTAAATCTTAATAAATTTTTAAAACACTTTTTAAATTATTAAAAAAAGTGTACAAATTAATTTAATTAGTCACGTAACATATTATAAAGAACTAAGTGATTAATGATCTACATGTGTACAATCATTGTTGATACTTTCAACTGTGACAAATGTCTACTGAAGATTTTGGTATTATTTTATTCATAATTTGACTACTTAAAAATATTTCTAGTGTCACGAATGTATTTGTTAGTCACGTCAACATAGTTATAAATAAATAGGTTTTGTAGTGTTGTTGCATTATTTATTTCTAATTTCTCTTCACACGAAACACACACAAATATTTAAATTATATTATTAGAATCTGTTAATATAAAATTTATGCAAAATAATTAGTAAATTTTCAATTTCATAACTCCATTCGGCTTTCTTTTTTATTGTAATATATACAAACGTATAATAGAAAAAGTTAATAAATAATTCAATTATTTTTTTGAAGTACTTTTTAAGTGTATACGAATTTCATCTATGTTGTAAAGAAGCCACTACAACGTGTGCATTTGAAAAGAGAAAAATGACATTGTGCACCGATACCAAAACCGTAATCATTTGAAAACGAGTTATTTATGCATTATTAGCGGCAGTTTCTGTACCTGTAATGTTTACAGGTATGTTTTTGGAGACGCCAATTGTCTTTTCAATGCGCGTGCAAAATAAACAGTTACATTAATTCACTATCCTTGGAAGGCGGTAAGACGAGAAACGATACACCGTCGCCGTCAACGGGTGCATCTTTGTCCGCACATAATATTGGCAACAGGTTACACGAAGTCCCGGGAATCGGCAATGGGTTTCCGATTGCCGGGCATGCCGGCTTTACCGGTCCTGCAATATCCTGTGGCTACACGTAATCCTTCGTGGTGTTGCGATTTCACTTTTGAGGAGTGTAGTAAGAAAATTCTTCATTGAAATACGGTCGTGAATTCTTCAGAAGCCCGAGATGTGTTTGCCATGCTCACGATTTATTTGGCATGATTGTGATTTATTTGCCTTTATCCTAATAATTCTGATGACCCGCCTCTGCAGACTAAAGTCTAAGGTAGGAGNGTAAGTCTACACTATAATACATCATTAATTAATGTTAATTTATAATTCAAAGCATCTTACCAAAAGATTTTATCATCAATACAAGTAAAACAATTCGAGAGTAAACAGCGACTGAACAACTGATGTAACTTATCAGTATGATCTCGAACGATACGTGAATATTGAGTAATTTTTCCATCATAAAACTAAATCTGTACTTCCTCTTCTAAATATAAATCGACGATAAAAAATGTGATAAGATGAAAACTTAATTTTAAAATTTATTTCAGTTGATTTATGACTATATCTATTCGAATTCGGGTTGAAAATTTCGCAATTTCTACAAATTTTTGCTCGATCGAACGTCATAAAATCGAGTAAACAAACGTTAAGTTTTTAGCATAATTCTACATTCAATTTACCTTAAAGGTAAGGAAAATTTTAATTAAATTTAAGATACAAGAGAATTTCATTTAAAAATGTCATTAAATTCCGATTTATTAATATATCTGTTAGTTAAGGAGTAGCAGAAAGAATTAAATCATGTAGACAGGGGAGTTCGATTTAGTCTCAACTTTGCGCCAAATCGAGTGTGGCGTTAAACGTTGAATAGAAACGTAAGAATAGTGCATTTTCTACTTTACAATAGTATTATTTTATCTTAAGTTTAATTCTTAGTTATATTATAAAGTATGTAGAATATAAGTATGCTGCATTAAATAAAGTAAACATGAATTTTCTTTTGTTAATTTATAAATTAATGTATCAAAAACTGCATAATTTATAGAAATTTAATTACTTCTAACATTCCTAAGATTTTCTTTAAGACGAAAAACGATACGCCGTCGCCGTCAACGGGTGCATCTTTGTCCGCACAGAATTTTGGCAACAGGTTACATGAAGTCCCGGCAGTCGGCAATGGAGTTCCGATTGCCGGGCATGCCGGCTTTACAGGTCCTGCAATATCCTGTGGCTACACATAATCCTACGTGGTGTTGCGATTTCACTTTTGAGGAGTGTAGTAAGAAAATTCTTCATTGAAATACGGTCGTTAATTCTTCAGAAGCCCGAGATGTGTTTGCCATGCTCGCGATTTATTTGGCATGATTGTGATTTATTTGCCTTTATCCTAATAATTCTGATGACCCGCCTCTGCAGACTAAAGTCTAAAGTACGAGTTCCCAACTTGTGTTCCGCGAAACCCTAGGGTTCCGCGAATAAAATTTGAGGTTCTACATTAAAATCCACTGAGTATATAATATAGTGATATATGAATGTGCCAGTACAGAATTGGTAATTGTTCTAGTCTTGTATTGAGTCCTCTTATCACGTCCTATACACGTGCTACAGTTATTTATAGCTTTATAAACAGTGGGGCCCAATTTATCGATAACAGAACGAATAGAAATCATAACGTAATGTTTGACAAGATAATGAAACCATACAAAAAACGGTAAATCTTAACTTAAAGCTAAAANGCCCAATTTATCGATAACAGAACGAATAGAAATCATAATGTAATGTTTGACAAGATAATGAAACCATACAAAAAACGGTAAATCTTAACTTAAAGCTAAAAGATCATTGAAAATACAAACAAACATTATATGAATAATTAAATTTTTTTTTTGTATTAATTATGAATCAGCGGTAAACACACAAAGGTTTTTATATGTTATTTTACCTAGTAACTAAGTAACAAAAGTCTATAATATTTGTAAAATTTACAAAATTATTAAAATATTTATCTGAAATTTTATAAATTATCAACTAGTTTCCAACGTAGTGTTTCTGTACGCTTTCTANCAGCGGTAAACACACAAAAGTTTTATATGTTATTTTACCTAGTAACTAAGTAACAAAAGTCTATAATATTTGTAAAATTTACAAAATCATTAAAATATTTATCTGAAATTTTATAAATTATCAACTAGTTTCCAACGTAGTGTTTCTGTACGCTTTCTAATGCTTATTCGATGGTCATCATGTTGCTGTTATATTTTCTTATAGTATGGTGTTTTTCCAGTTCTTATCAAATTATACCAAGCGATAAGATAACAGAGATGAAGGCAAGCTGTAAATTTCGTGAAGATAGGATCCTGGATGTTGCACCTATTGCTCACTTCGAGAACACTCATCAGATCGCTTGTTTGTCGAATTGCATCAAGATGGCAGGATGCAAATCGTTTAATTTTGGACAAGGAAAGTGTGATTTGTTACCCGAAAAAGTCTGTGATAATGGAATCGAAAGAGAATTTATTGATAAAGAAGGGTTTAGCTACTATGATCTGTATAAGAAGGATGAAGTGGTAAGTTAGGCTTTCAGAATTTCTAAAACCTCTTTTCGTATTCTATTACCTCAGCTAGTTAAATAAAAAAATAAACTGGATTCTGAAGAACTCTAAGAATATTTTATAGTCCTATATACAGGATGTATCAGAATGACGTTTTAAAAATTTTAGGGATTGTAGAGGATGAAATTTTGAACGTTTTGATATCAGGAACCTACAGCCGGAAATGAGATACGTATAAAGTTTCTACTGCACTTTGCACGTCCTATATACAGGATGTATCAGAATGACGTTTTAAAAATCTTAGGGATTGTAGAGGATGAAATTTTGAACGTTTTGATATCAGGAACCCATAGCCGGAAATGTGATATAAAGTTTCTACAGCACTTTACAATTTTCAGTCGGTATGCTGAATGAAACATCGAGTGAAGGTGGGTATGGGCCGCACTCAGTGATATTGCCCAAGACCAGAATAAGATGTAAAGTTGTGTATGAAGAAGTTAGGATGAAGGGGAAGTACAGGAGATAGGATAGAAGGAAAAAGACCTTAGTCCATGGGACTCAAGGGCGTCTGCATCTCATATATTTAAGACAAATACTTACATTACATTATTTACAGTTGTACACAATTAGTACAGTAGATAAACAGTCAAAGGATGCTAATGAGTTTGTAGACAGCTAATACATTATCGTTACATTGCAGAAAATTCATATAAAAATCCAGATAGTACAATTTCAAACTGGAAAGTTACACAAGTAATACTTTCACGTACATAATTTGGTGACTTTGTAGAAAAAAATTTTTGTAGTTGGTATACAGTGACGTAAAGATTTACATTAAATAACGGGGAACACATTTACTATTACCATGATAATTCCAGGGATGCAAACATAGATTACAGCATGTTAGTCCAATATCTTTATGTCTTGAATGAATTTCTTTAACGCTTTGGAGATGTGTTTGTTTTCCGTGAAGACCCTAAGCTCACAGGGCCAGAGCTCATTCCTGTTCTGTATTTCATTTATGAGTCCCTTTCGTTGGCTTGAGTAGCTAGGGCAGTGAAAGAAAATGTGCAGTGGATCTTCCTGTTCTTTGAGAGGGCATGGGCAGAGTCTATCAGTTTTATTCAGAAACCTTTTCAGGTAACTGCGAAAGTTTCCGTGCCCTGTATACATTTGTGTAGTTGAGAAGGAGGGAATCAGGTGTTTATAACTGTGACGTTGTTTCACACTAGGAATAAATTGTTGGGTGAGCCTACCTGTTGTACCAGTGTCCCACCTGTCTTGCCAACGTTTCCAGGAGTATTCTCTGATTTGGTTGTGAAGCCATTTAGGGGGAATAGCACTGAAAGAATAGTGAGTGATCCTTTCTGGAGCGGTGCGGGCCAGCAAGTCTGATCTCTCGTTGCCAGCGTTATGAGCATGGCCTTTCACCCAGTGGAGCCTGATGATGATACGGCGTAAATGAATTATAATGTTGATGATTTGGTAGACCCGTTGGGTAGTTGCTGTTCAGCTTTTTCAGTTTCAGGAGTGCGACACGGCTATCACTGAGAGTGGTGATGTTCTTTCTGTTGTGTTGATGAATGTTGTTCAAAGTCCACTGTAGGGCGTGGAAGATGGCTAGCGACTCTGCTTGGTTAGCAGTGCAGTGATCGCCAAGCTTGTACTGCACCTGTTATAAATTCCTTTTGTTGTAGGTGACCACCATTGAGCACCAAACGCCTCTGTCAGACTTGGAGCCATCCGTGAAGATGTGGATCCCGTGGGGTGTCATTTCCCTGAAGATTAATTTGAGCGTCGATAAAAGTTTTTGGGTGGAATGCATGCGGACAAGGGAGGTAGTCCAAACTGTGCTGCTCGATGTGGTTGGAAAGCAAAACTGTTTCCGTATAGACTCCGATTCCTGTGGTGATGTTGTCAAATTCCTGCCTACTGATTTGGTGAGTTGCCATCTTGTAATGATAGTACTTCCAGACTCTTTCTTTTACTATAAGATCAATGGGGATGATGTTAGCGATGGCGAGTAAGGCATCAGTTGGCGCGGTTTTGTAGGCTTTCGTGATAGATATTGCAGAAAGTCTCTGGACCGATTGCAGTTTTCTTCTGATGTGGGTTTTCCTCACGAAGTTTCCCCATAGTTCTGCGCCATAGAGTAATATTGGTTCTACATCCGCGGTATATAGGAGTCTAGAAGTCTCACTCCCATAACCCCAGCGGTTCCTGGCAATGGAATAAAGGGAAGGAGAGACTGTGATAGCTTGTTCATAAGTATAGTGGACATGGTACCGCCATGTTAGTCTGTTGTCCAGAATGATGCCCAAGTACTTGATGACTTTCTTGTTTTTAATCCGTATTCCGTCTATTCTGATAGTGGGTTCTTTCTGGAGAGAAGTGTTGCGGGGAAAGAGAATGCACTCGCACTTCTCATATTTTATTTTTAGTTTCCTGTTGGCGCTCCAGTGAGAGATTTTCTTTAGTATGTCATTGGCCCTGTCTTGAAGAACCTCTTGGTTCCTATGCGAGATGGCCACTATAGTGTCATCTGAATAACCTTGTATCCTGCACTTGTATTCCGTGGGAAAGGTGGAGCTGAGCTCCAGCAGGCTATTATTCATGAGGTTCCAGAGAAAGGGGCCCGACCGGGAACCTTGGGGACACCCTCTAGTTATATCTTTCTTGCAGTAGTGATTGTTGGCTGTGGAAGTGATGATCTGCCTGTTGAGAGGTAGCTCCTATAGAGATTGAAAAGATTTCGGGGGTTCTGACCCTGTGTCAGTTAGCGCTTTTAAGATGGCTGGCCACCATGCGTGATCGAAATGCTGAATGAAATAGCAGAATACAGTATTTATGACAAGTTTTATTGATAAAACAGTAGAGTACAATCAAACTGTACTGTAAGTACATCGAATCAATGGCTCCACTACTTTAGAGTAAATGTTTAATGTTACGACCACCAACTTCCTTACATAATGTGCAACGACGAACCATGTTTTGTCCGACTCTCTGTAAGATGCCACGCTCCCCTCTGATAGCATTAAATGCTGTAAAGATGCGGTCCGTAAGCTCATGAACTGTTCCTACAGGTGTTGCGTACACAAGGGACTTTACATAACCTCAGAGAAAGAAGTCAAGAACAATAACATGACGTCAATGGACAGAAGGGTAGCTACCAAAGTGAAGGATGGTCAAGCACTTCCTACCGCTGTAGAAACTTTATATCACATTTCCGGCTATGAGTTCCTTATATCAAAACGTTCAAAATTTCATCCTCTACAATCCCCCAAATTTTTAAAACGTCATTCTGATACACCCTGTATATATCTGGCCCTGTCCCTAAGCACTGCAGGCCTGAAAAAAAGCTCTCTTAAGCTTTTTTAGGCCACAGATTTTATGACTTATTTTTATGAAATAAAATGCAAAAATATCGATTTTAAAAATTAATTATTGAAATCGCTATACTGTATTTACAGGAAAGTGCATCTAAAACCTGGAATACAGCAACTTGTACTGTTCATGGAAAATGTTTAGCCGATTGTCGTAAGTATATCTCTTTTTTTATATTTATATTTGATTTAACATCTGCAATTAAGGCAACTCTATAGACCAAATGTGTATGTACGTTAAAGTTGAAGTTAAATAATTAAATAGGAGACATAAAACGAAATGATTTCCCGGTTAAAACATTTAAGAATTTCGAATTAATAATTTAATCTTAGTTTTTAATTAAATAAAACAATAGTTTTGTTGTTCAGATAATAAAAGAAAGTAAACTTTTTACGTATAATTTTTAAAAAAATATTATAAACTTTTTAAAGATATTCGTGCGATTTTTTTAAAAATATTCCGATTTAATGCTATTTAGCTATACATATCTGGTTTGATTACATTTCAGGACACGCCGAAGACATTTCCGTAAATAGATTAGTACTAAAACATGCCACTGTGGCAATTTTGGCGCTGCAAGCAACAATATTCATGTAAGAACTTATGCTATACAGAGATATTAGCGAAACAGGTAATACTGCTTGATGTGGTCCCCATTCTGAGGGTATGAAGCCTGAAGGCGTTGTTTAACAGTCGACCGTAATCGATATAGGCCTACTAAAATGCATTGTGATAGTGTCTTCAAAGGCTACCAAATTTGTGATATGTCTTCGATAAACTTGCTTTCTAAGTGTCCACACGACCAAAAATCATACAGATCCAAAGCAACAAAATTGCCATAGCGGTGAGATTTGATACTTTTTCTTTCTTCATTTTTATACGGAAATGTTTTATGCATCCTGAAATGGCCTTTTACTAAATTTGGCAGCATTTGGACCGCTAAATAACTTACTAAACAGCATCGAATAGGAACTTTAATTACGATCACAGTGTGTGTGTTTGTGTGTTTTATATATGGCCATGGTATGTAATTAATTTAAAATATTTATATGTATTAATAATTGTTTTATAATATTTTATAAACGTACTTTATTTTCTAAATAAATTTTAAAATAGAATTCTGAAGCTTAAATTCAATTTTAATTTCGAAATCTAGAGATTTCATTAACATAAAGTTTATGAGTCTGATAAAAATATGGAAAAAAAAATCCATAACTGCTATAAATGCTTAACTTAAAACACAGTAAGCCTGGCTAATAAGGGTTGAAGTTAACGAAATTCCTAGTTAGAGGCGTGTTTTGGCCACGTGAATACCATGTGTGACATAGTTTTGTAATGAAATCTACTAAAAAAGTAATTTTGGTAGATGACCTTGCCATGGTTCATTTTATATTAAGTATATGTGTCTCGAGTTAATTCAGTGATTCTGTAAAAGTAAGCGCACACAACACTACTCAAAGTACCCATTGATCAAATAACGGAGGTGTAAAAGTCGCAGGCACAAATATAGATTTTGCACTTTCAATCTATTAATAATCTATGTACCGTATTTTGACGAGTATAAGTCGCACTTTTTTTACTACTTTCCGGGGCTCAAAATCATGATGCGTCTTATACTCGACAGGTAACCATTTTCTCAGTGAAATTATCTACAGTAGTGGTTTACTCTAGGGACCAACCTGTGCAGTGGTCCGTTAAGCAGATGGTCCCTCAACCAAATGGCTAGATTATCAGATTATCAAGTACCTAGATTATCAGATTAGTGACACACGAGTCATCGCCGCCATGTTCTGTCGACTGTCATCACGTGACCTCTGAGTTTACATTAAGAAATGACGACTATTTCAGTTTAATAAAGGTATCGATTCATCCATCTGTCATATTCCTGAATAAAAAAACGAATAAAATGCATCTTTAGACAATCCGATTAAAAAAGTTTCTTTCAAAATTTTTTATCTCAAAATAGGGGTGCGTCTTATACTTGACAGCGACTTATACTCGTCAAAATACGGTACTTCGTTCAAGGACCTTTTGTCTGGTCAGCAATCCTACAATATAATGAAATTATGTTAAATAATAATTTATAGTATTTATACTGTTAAATTATAGAAATTTAACTCGGTCAAAATCTTAGAGCTAAGGTTAGAGTTTCAAACAATGAATGTAGTTGGGCCTCTAGGCCAGGCAGTGAATGATGATCATAAATTTTCTGCTGACAAGTCATTCAGGATCTGCCAACTTGTACTGTAATGTCAAATTCCTCGCGCAACTTCCAGTTCCCATTTCGTTTGATCATCCGATATATATATATATATATATACACCGCGTGATAAAAGTAACATATATTTATATGTTAATTTTTATCAATATATTGCTTTATATGTTTATATATTGCTATTACTGTATTGTGTTGTAATATAATATTGATTACTATTTAAATCTATTATATAAAAGTTTATAAATGTTTGGATAAATATGCAGTACATATTGATATTGTAAGTTATCTACATTATAAACATTTATATATTTTAACTTCCTATATAAAATATTTATAAACTTTCCGTTAATCAACCAATTTCCATTTATAGCTTTAATTACAACCACTTCTCAATCGATTACCACCACCACCACTACTGAACCTCCTACTACCACTGAACTTTCTACTACATCTACGGAATCTATTACATCTACTACTGAGCCTCCTGTAACAATAATTACTACAACTACTGAACTTAAGATGACAACCACTACCGAGCCTACAACAACAACGAAACCTATTACAACTACTGAATCTCCTACGACAACAACTGAACCCCCTACAAGTAGTAGTGTTCCTACAACAACAACAACTGAATTTCCCACAACTACTGAGGCTTCTACGACAACATCAGAACCTTCAACAAGTACTAAGCCTCCTATGACAACACCAGAACCTCCAACAACCACTGAGCCTCCTACTGCAACTACCGAACATCATACGACCACCACTACAGAGCCTCCTACGACCACCACTACAGAGCCTCCTACGACCACCACTACAGAGCCTCCTACGACCACCACTACAGAGCCTCCTACGACCACCACTACAGAACCTCCTACAACTACTACTGAGTCTTTTACCACAATCACTAGTATTGAGCCTCTTACGACGACAACAACTGAATCTTCTGTAACAACAACGACTACTATTGAGCCTCCCATTAATACAACTACAGAATTAACTACAACTACAACTACTACAGAACCACCCACAACTCTAACTACTACCGAAACGTCTACAACAACATCTACCGAAATTCCTACAAGCACTACTTCAAAACCTTCAACAAGCACAACTGAATTTGCAACTACTACCACTTCGACAGAAATTCCGACTAGTACAACCACTCAAAAGCCTACCACAACTACAGAGGCACCTACTACAACAAGCACTGTGCCACCCACAACTACCACTGAACCTCCAACAACAACAACAACTCCTGTTCCTACAACCACCTCGGTACCCACAACTACAACCGAAGGTAATTATTTTTATTTTACATTTCGAAACATTTTATAATTTAATTATTATATATCAAATTCATAATTTACAATCAATTAATTGTATTAAAAAAATCAATTATATTTTTTTAGAAGAAGGCACTTTGGGTCCATGTGAGTACGAATTATTTTATCCTCATTAATTAATTTTTAACCAGAAAAGAAATTAATATAAAACAATTTTGATCGATCTAAAAAATTATACACCTTTTCTTCTGTTAAGAATTAATGCAATATCTTACTTGTTAACAGTAGAGTGTGATTCTGTGATTCTTTGATGTTACTTAGTAAATATTATTTCATTTCAGGCGATTACGAATACACTCCTTACTCAGAAATGGACGTGTGTGCCGCTGTAAAGGACAAATGTGAACTGGCTCTACCCAGAACTTTTGATGAAAATCAGCATATCATTCACGCCATTATAGATGGACCAACACCTATTGCTGGGTGTTACTGGTTCGGATTCGAAACTGTGGACCTTCATAATGATCGTTTTAAACTTGGAGAAACTGGTAAAGAACTGGCAGGTACAGATTTACTTTTTCCAGAAGATTTTAAATACGTAAAATCGGGGTGTGTGGCTATTGGTACTAGCCCTTTTGTTTGGGATATTCCACCGGCATCAGTAACGTGTGGTCGTGTTTGTCAGAAATATATTGGTAATTGAATTTATATTATCTTACTATTGTTAACATATCACTTTCGATTCTGTAATTTTTTATTGTAGTACGATTTCATTGTTTAATGAATGGTGAATTTAAGAATAAGTCGATAATTGTATGTCTGTAGCAACTGTTATTGAAGAGTTTCAGTCGAACACACTTATTATTTGAACACACGTAGCACTCATACACTTGAAACGATTGGTAAAAATTGATCTTAGCCAAGTATTGTGCACTCAATAAGCCTGGAAAAATAGAAGTTATGTTGATCTTTGTTTATTCTAATACAGGTAAAGCATAGTGCTGAGTAAAAAGGAATGAATTGAAGTTATTTTGGTGATGGGCATTGAGGCAAATGTGAAGTTGCTGAAGGCTTTGTCTCCATCATCAAAATAACGAATTCGTTCCTCTTTACTCAGCGGTTTGCTTTACCTGTATAAAAATAAATGAAGCTAATTATAATTCCTATGGTTCTAGACTTATACTGTGTAATAAATTAACAGGCGTGACGGACACGTTTGTTTTATCAATTCATATATTAATAATAGAATTTAAGTTGAGCTTAATCTAACATTAAGAAAAGTGAATTAATAACATGTGTAAATAAGAAGACAAATTGTATTTATTTGTTTTACAGATTGCACACAATAAAGATTAATAATACAATTTAAAAATACTGTTTATTATTCAAAAATGTACAGAGGTGCAGAATATGTCCAACTGCACAAATAAGATTTGGGGAAAGTTAAAGCAGTCCTAGGGAAATTTGAGGTAGAAAAAATAGTATGGCATTAGCAACAAAAAATTACAATAAAATGAAGTAAAGTCTTGGCTAAGTCTACAGACATTAATTAAAATTCATTCTCCAAAATTCAAACATCTTGTGTTTAAAAAAAAAAATTGAAACACTAAACATCTCTCAAAACCCAATATATTAGTATAAAGCCAAACCAACTGCCATATAAAATCAGGCCAATTAATAATTAAAATTGTAATTACTGAAAGCTGGCCCAATCTTATACAGCAGTTGGTCTGGCTTAAAAATTGAAACTTTGTTTACTTTGTTTCTGGTGAGTATCAGCTTGTTACATCACTGCCTACTCACACAGTTATGTGCTTACAGAAGAGACAAGTTAGTCTCTCTTTCTGAACCCCAGTTTTAATTTTTACAGAAAAATTAAATCGAAATGGTGTTTTAAAAAGAAGATAAAAGAAAATCCATTCCCATTTCAAGACTCTTTTTGAACCATTTAAAATGGGTAAAATTTCTTGTTAACTTGCATTAAAACAAAATATTCACACATTCCTCAAGGAAAATTTGCAAATTGATAAACTGCATTTAAAAACTTTGCTATTTATTCAAAGCAATTTGGAAAAATAAAAGTTATCATTTTACACACATTATTTCCTCTATTTTTCATATATTTTGTAGATTTATTATATAATAAAAAGATTAACATTGAAATATATATTACATTATTGTAAAAATATAGCAAAGTTAAAAAAATAATAATGAAATAGTCAAAAATTCTAAATAGTTTATATTTTTGCAAAAAATGGATGCATTTCTTAAATACTTTTTCAGAAAAACTGTGCAACTGATATCATAAGTTATGTATTTTTGGATGTCAAAAAGTCCATGGATTAGTAACCCCCACTAAAAATAGGTAATTTGTGGCATTGGTGATGACTTCAGTTTCATTTCTATTAACCAACATATTATATGAAGTTTATAACTGTATACACTATCCTATGACAACGACAAATACTTAAAGTATAGCATTATTTTAATTTTAAAAGTTTTTACATTAATTTTACAGTTTATTTACAGCAAATCATATAGTACACCTATTTAATTATTTGTACAATTTAGTTTAAATTATTCAAACTGCATAGCAATAATAAATAATTCATTGCATGCTAGTATGCAATAACTTTTGGTCCCAAAAATATTCTGCACCTCTGAAAATGTCTGGACTTTTGAACTTAAATACCATTTTGTTCTATCTTTCATTTACTTGTATACTGAAGATGGCCTAAAGTTAAAGTAAAAATGTTTCAAAATAAACAATCAAATATTACCTCAGACATATATATAATCACTAAGCCTGATGTATTAATAACAAACCAAACAATTGCCATAATTAATCAGAGTAATTAAGTGCTATTATTAATAATTAACTATTAAATAATTTGCTATTACAGGTAAATATTGCGTTATCTCTTATTAAATTTATTAATTATAATATTTATTAATTAATTTAGAATAATCAGTTAATCATTAATAACAGCNAGAGTAACATACTGAGCATTTGGACTATGACCCATGACCACGACCATCTACAAGGCTTCAGTGGCTAAAACTATTTTCGTATAATACTGAATCCTGGTAGATGGTCATGGGTTCTTTCCTTACCTACAAACTGGCCACGTGAAGTTTTTCTGGTCTTCTTCACATTAGTTAGGCTAGGTAACAGCTAAATAGGATGTTTTTTGTGTCATGGACCCATTTATTAATCCGAAGATCTACTAATCTATTCTAATGAATAATCTGGAAAAACCATGAACAGATTAGTTTATTTATTCATGGATTCCAGGTTGAGAACCCCGCCTTTAGCTATAGGGTCCATATAGCTTAGCACGAGAACCTCCTCCTTTCTTCCTTCCAACTCTATACATTTTCCTTCCTATTCCTGTCTTTCAGGCAAAACAATGAGGGCATTGCCATTTTTTTTAACATGTTTATAACGTAAATTATTATATATTTTTCCTCATTGAACGAAATATATCTCTATTTGAAAGATAGCTGTGCGTATGACATAATATATACGCTATTATTGCTTTGGCACTATTCCTACAATATGCAGTAAGTAAATAAATAAATAAATAAATAAATAAATAAATATATATATATATATATATATATGCAGTAGAACCTCGATTATCTGGACTAATTGGGGATGAAGGTAGTCCAGATAAAGAAAAATTCGGATAATCGAAACAAATACTTTAATTTGTCTTTTAATGATAATACAACA